ATGTTAAGATATTAAACCAATATCATTCAGTGCAAGTAGCTTAGACATGTACAGAATTATATGCATTTGGTTCAAACAATTGTGTTCACAGACATTATTTCACATAAAGTGCAATGTTTCTTATTTTATTATAAGAAAAAGTACTGCCAACCCTGAACTGAATATTTTGTTTATTTTTGGTTTTTTTTCTTTCTCTGGAACAGGGAGAGATTTTATTCCAAGATTGTGTAGAGGGACAACTAGATTATCTTTGATCCTACTGTATAAGAACAAAATTTTAATATAATCATAAATGACTGCATGTTTTTTTGTTTAGTCTTTTAAGCAAACAAAATTTTTTTTTTTATTTTTATGTAAATGTTATAATATCTACCATTATAGCTGTTTGGTTACAAGATGATGGAGATTATTTTTTTCTACTAAATTTGAACTGTCATTGCACTGTGTGAGACATTTCTACACTTGACACACTTAGATTTTTCATTCCAGTTCATCTCAACAAACCCCAACATCCATGACTTCTTACATATCGACTGCAGTCAGTTCACAGAAGCTAAAAGACATACAAAAGTAGGTCACTCTGGCCTATATGTTATACTTCATTAATTTGTATTCTAAGATACTGTGATAAATGACCTACTTTTCATTCCTCTCACAATGAAGTTGAATTTCACTTTGATATATGTTTAAATTATTTTTAAGATTTATAAAATTGTTTTGGGGAGGAAGCGATCTTTGTGATAATTGAAATTTTGATGATTGAGTTATACTTAAGTTTTCCACCAGTACATATTTGAAATTTAACTGTCAAGAGTGTTATATTGCACAAGAGAAAAAGATTTTTTTTTTCATACTGTCATTATGACAAATCAGAAAAGGGTCTACAATAATTTTGACTATTAAAGAAATGGGAACAAGTGTAAATTTTCTTTGAAATGCAAACATTTTGATAAAAAAAAAGTTTTTTTCATCCGGTTCATAGCATTTATAGTATTTACTACAATCATGATAATTGGTATTAATATATATATGATATCATTGAATCACTTTAATTATACAAGCAGTTTATCCCCATCTTGTAATTGTCTCCCCATTTTTATTCATTTCATGAAATACCCCGGTAATTTTTTATTCCCATTATATTGAGTCACATTTAGTATATTGTAGTTTTCTTGTATACTTTCTAATCCATTATAGATGTAATAAATCCCAAATTCTCGCAAAAATAACACTCCAATCCTGACCTAAAAAGGTCCTCCTCTTGGTTAGTGTTAGTGGGTTTATATTGTGAAAAATGTGTACAAAACATGTTAAAACTTATAAAAGATACAAATTATATTGTTTATTTTTAAACTTTTTCTACTTTATTTTTTGATATGTTCTGAAGACAAAGTTGGTTGTGAAAAGTCTTTACATATCATTCATGTATGGATCAATATATCTTTTCATTTTTGTCTCACCTGCGACAAAAGTCGCAGTATGCAAGACATAGGGAGTATTGTCCGGCGGCATAAACTGTTTGTATAAAGCTTTATATTTCAGAAGGTAGAAGACCTTGATGCTTCATACATTTTATGCAGACACCTTATGTTAGAAAGTCTCCGTCTGTAGTATGTCCATTGTCCTTGACCTCCTTTTCATGGTTCAGTGACTGCTTGAAAAAAAAAACAGTTTTATTGTCATGTGAATTTCTCGCTTATTATGAGTAATAGGATAACTATATTTGGTATATAGGTACCTTGCAACATCTACATGTCTGTTGGATAGGGTTCACCTGACATCGACCTCATTTCATGGATCAGTGATCAAGGTTAAAGTTCTGTGATTAGGTCCGTTTCTCAGATATTGTAAGCAGTAGGTCAACTATATGTGGTGTATGGAATGATTGTAAGGAGCAAATGTCTTGTCTGGCAGGTTTCATCTGACCATGACCTTATTTTCATGGTTCATTGGTCAATGTTAAGTTTTGTGTTTTGGTCTTTTTTTTTTAAATACTATAAGCAATAGGTGAACTATATTTGGTGTATGGAATGATTGTAATATGTACATGTTGATCTCCCTGGTATCATCTGACCTTGACCTCATTTTCATGGTTCATTGGTCAAAGTTTATGTGATTCTTCCAGTAAAACCATTATCTTTAAGACTTTGAACATAGAATCAAATGTCAGTAAAGCAGGCGAGACATTTTAGTGTGTGCACTCTTGTTTACAAATATGTTTAAACTTTTTCTCACAGTCACATAGCTTTTCTCATTTGAAAGTAGATTTTTTTCATGGTGGATACAATCCGCATGTAGTGCATCGGCATGTAGTGTGTATGATAGATATTTGATATTAAAATACTTTCTTTCATTTCCTGGGTGTTGACTTCAATTTTGCTGTGTGAATGTTTTTTTTTCATAGGTAAACTTTACAGTATGAATTTTAAAGAAATATATAGAGATCTGAATAGATATATGAAGCATGATTTTTATTCTTGTATCTTTTAAAATGATAAATATTTTCATTAGGTTTGGTGTATTTGAAAACTGAATACTGATGTTCTATGAATTGTGCATGCAAATGAACCTTTTGAGATATATCTTTGTGTGTGATGATGCAGTTCTGATTGAATTATGTTTGTTTAAATGTAGTTGGAAACTAAGAATGTTATGAAATTTGTAGATAGATATTTTACTTTCAAATGCTGCAATGACAACTAAATTCCAATAAAAGTAAATTTAAACCAATTAGAAATCTGGAAGGATTTCAATTGAATTAGTTGGAAAAGAAAATCTTGTTACCAGAGAAATATTGATGAACTTGATGTAGATTATCCTTCATTTAATTTGTATGTAAGGTTCTGTGGACTTTAGAGCATGTTGTTTACAATAACGTGTGCTTGGAATATATTAAACTTTGAACAATGTAATAGAAAAACAAAGGATATGGGGTATCCATCCATGACACAAAATCAGTACATGTTTCTCGTTTATATTTTTGTTTCTAAATTTATTTGATGTAAAAAATAGCACTTAACCAGAAACTATATGATCACTAGTGTTTTGAATATATGATTACCAGTATTTTCAAAATGGTAATGTCATAAAAAAACTGTTTATTCTTTTTTTTATTAAGTTATACATATTTAGTGTAAGACATTTAGGTCATTTTAAAATTAGTGTTCTGATTCTCAGCCATGTATGATGACATGTTTTTACAACTAAAATCTTATATATTTTCACCAATTTATGTTCTATTTTTTTTTTAAACCACTTTGATGTCATTGTAAAACAACACAATTGCTCAGGTATAATGGGATCATTGTATTTGCACCAACTTAAAAAAAAATCAGTTTATTATTTGCACCACAAGGTTGTTATTCATTTGTGTAAAAGAAATATACTGCTTTTGCACCATTTTACAGGAAACATATAACACATTTAATATTTTGCTATACAAGATGCATTTAGGAGGCTACTTTTAAATGACTGTGATTTATAATGAATATGTTTGTTATGCAAACCAATATATATCTATTATTTATACTAATTACCTGTATTATTGGCACAAATGAAATTTTTGTTCAGGCAAAAGTGAAATATGGTTTGTGGCGCAAATGAAATGTAAATTGATGCAAAAACAAAGCGTCAGGAAGAATACATTTAACTCTAAGTAAAGTTTACTTCAGCAATATTGATTTTAATGCCTAACAATTGTTTCAATAGATCTAGATAAAACTCAAGTTGACATGACCAGTTACAAGAAAATAAGTTTACATTTAAATTTTGGATGGTCATTGGTGTAATTGAATTTTTTCTCAAAGTCTACTGGGAGAAGTTAATTTGTGTCAAAATATGAAATATTAAAAAAAAAAAGAAAAAGGAACCAGAAACAATTATAAACGAAAAAAAATATCAACTCAATAATTGGGGAAATTCAATGTTATTGTATAATTTTGCCAATTAAAAGAGGCAATACATACAAAACAATACTTGGTTTAATTACAATTGTAACATATTGACAAGGTTTATGACAGAAGGCAGATTCACAATGTAATTATAAAACATTATAATAATATGAAAATTGATATGTTTTTAGAAGATCAGGTCAGTGATTATCACAAGATGAAATATCATGTAAAATGACAGAGATATACCCAATCAATTCTCTTACTCTATTGATTCTAATGACATTGTAGAAAATTACTTCCTAGAAACCCGGCGACAACACTTCTACAAGCCTAGGTTTATGTCTTTATAATGTCATCTTTTTTGCATTTTATGGTTTTACGGCAAAAGCCACTTTTTATAAAACTAATTGGACAAATAACAGGTTTCTCTCTTTCATTTTCACAAATTGCATTTATAACTAAGACCATTTTGTTTAACCATATTTTGCTCTCTGTTGATTATTGATAGTTTTTTATTTACAATTCTGTAATCAATTGGAAACTTTTGTCTAGTACTGTTTAACTTTTTTTGTAAGAAACAACAACACAAAAAAGAAGTGAAACCACAAGATTTTAAACAGTAGTCTTCTTTTAACATAACATTTTATATTATTATATTTTCCCTTTACCTATTATAACTGAGTTTTGACATTTCAGAAACAAGAAGATCTAGAAAATCAATTTCAGCATGAAGCCTTTTTTCTCCCTTTCTATATTTTGTCTGTCATTTTCTTTTCAAATTTATAAACCTTTTTACTCATGGCATGACAACAGTTTGTTTTAATGTCAGTTTTGCAGTTAGTGAGGAAGACCGACATAAAGTGAACATGAAAAACAAGTTTTTAACTTGATATTGTTTGTTCTTATCAAGAAAAATTTGAGCTGACCACAACAAAGATTGTAAAACAAAATTAGGATGCAATAGATTGTACAAAGTACACTTGTTATTTGTCATGAAAATGGTTTAAAAAAAATTCTAAAGAAACTGATTAACTAATTTGTGTTTGTAAAAATATTCCCCATTAGATTCCTGGTAAAATATTCAAGCTATCACCCTTATAATTTCAGTGCCCAAAAACCTAGATGAATTCAAGTCAAAGGTTCAGGACATCCCACAAAAACTGACTCAGACTGTTGGGGAGGTGTCTGAAAAATGTTCTCTGCAGTGACAGTAAGTCAACTGTTGTCATGGCACCCATGTTTTAGTGTCTGTAGCATGATATCAGTTGTTCTGCACTATATTTTGTTTTCATTTGAACACATTTTTAGCTTCTGATCTATTATACAGCACCCATATATGTTCAGCCATAATAAATGTATCATTCATATTTTCTGCATTCAGCAACTGAACTACTTCACTTTGTCTGCATGTACCCAGTTGTACAGTGCAGGTTTTTTTTTTGTCTTAAATGCATCAGAATATGAGCATGTGTCCACTTTTTCAGCTCCAGTTTTAGTTTTGAATGCATGATAACATTGTCAGCATATGTTAAGTGTCACTTCATTTATATTTTTCATCTAACAAAGGAGTAGGCCCAGTAAGACCCCTTTTTGGCCCCAAAATATGGCAGTTTTACAAAATTGTTAAAATGTAAACTTTTAGCTATTTATTGGAAAGTAAAATACTTCTGTTACATAAATATGGACTGTTTTTACAATACAATGCACATGTATCTGATACTAGCATCATCAAGTCATGCTAAATTACTGAAATTTTCACAATTTTAGCATTTGAGTTAATTTTTAGACGGTTTTCGTCTTAAATGGAAGTGGCCGCATGTGTGTTCATTCTTAATATTTAAATGTAAGTTGTATTTGATGATAATACATAACATATATAAAGGTTGAGACTGAACACGGATGCGGCCACTTTCATTTTTGACAAAAAAACATCTGAAAAGTGACATATGATGGCATATTTGATAGATTTTTCATATTTAAGCTTGAATTTGAGCGTCTTTAATGACTAAATTAGTTCAAATCTTTCACATAAACTAATTAAATCGACTGAAGTAGATACTTAAGTGTTTAAAAAGTGTCCAAAATCTTTCATTAGATGAACCTGAAGTTTGAGGCCAAAATCCGCCCTTACAGGACCTACTCCTTTAATGTTATAGTATACATTTCTGTATTATAGTTTCTGCAGTTATGTCAAGGTTTTAGGTCTCTTTCATATGTTGTATCAACATGTACTCCAAATATATGCCTGATGGTACTTTTAAACCCTATTGTTTTGCATCTTTAGAATGATTTTATTTTTGAAATTGTTCATTTGAAAAGAGATTGAAACTATTCCTATGAAAGAAATATGAATTGAAATTGTTCCTATGGAAGAAATGTGAACTATCACTTGAAATGGTTATTACAAAAAAAATTATCTCTTCAATAAGATGTAATTAAGCTTTATTTAGCCAGAGATACTTTATTTGATATTTACCACAAAGATCTCATACATTGTAATTTTTGCATGACTATGTTGTAATTCTGTTTTCTAATGAAGCTATTACCAGCTCTAAATGTAAGGTAGCAGTTCATCTTAAATGACAACAGATAAGGGTGTTTAGGAGAAGTAGTTTTACAGAAAAAATGCTGTTAAAAAGCTCTTACATTTATACTTTTACTTCAGTATAGTTGTTGAATGGAGTCTTTATAGCAGTTCCATTATTACTGGATCTATAAAATGTTCCTGTATAGAATAATTCTTGATATTATGTACAAGTAGTTGGTATATATATATGCATAGTTGTTTGAGCAAGCTTAAGAGCTCCATTGGAAATTTTTAGCTGCCATCACTTTTTTTCAAATAGTTCTTATTGTAATGGGGAAAAATATGATAATGGCAAGAGAATGTGTATATAGTTCTAAAAATTACTCATTATTACATACATTTACAAGAAAATAAAGAAAGAACAAGCAGTCTATGTATGTTTATAAAGATGTTTTTCACAATTTTTGACATATATTCTTTTCTCTTTCTAGATTGCTTGAGGATTTCTCAGTAGTGTCTATAGATACTGCTACTGTAACCAGATATATGCAATTTTAGATACTGAAAATAATTAGCTAATTAATTATTGGAATATTTTGTTGCATTGTACACAAGACAAAAGAGGACCATACACATTAAAGAGGGCTGTAAGGGGGGTTTACGCACAGATGAACAAGAAATAAAGTCTGTATTACCTATAGATTTTTTATTCTGGGTTGGAATGATTCATTTATTAAAAAAGCTCAAATTTATTCAAAGATCTAAAAAAAAATTACAGTTTTGAGTCATCAATAAGTTTGTTATTTATATTTTTTTTGCATGTCCAACAGTATGTCATAATCTTTTAGAATTTCTAAGAACCTCACACAAAAACTGTGATACTGTTAATTTAAGTCAAGATTGAATGGCACTGAGAAACAAATATAGGGGAGATCTAATATCAATGAAACATAACTTCAAATTAGCAAGAGAACTGTCAGTTGTACTTTCGACACTTATTCTATTTCTTAAAATTAGAAAAAAAGAAGTAGCTGTTTTTCCATGATAGAGAATGCAAACAAGTAGAGTTCTTTTTTGATATAACATAATTCTGAAGTAATACAGAAGAAATTTGTTTTGTGTGTTTTAACTCTTTTTTCCTGTGTATAAACTCAAATAGCAATATCAAAAAGTAAGCTACAAAATATGCATTACATACATTTTTATGTGTAGAAGCTGTATATAGAACATTTTCATGTCAGATGTTTTCAGCAGATTTTGTACAGTTAAGTTAGTTTTACACTTGTGTTAAGATGTTTATATTAAGTTCTACAAATGATTTCACAAAATTTTAATATTTTCACAAAATGTATTAAGTACTTAGTTTAAGATTTCCATTCGAACTTCCACATGGAAAACTTATAAAATGATAAATTTGTGTACATTTTTATTTGGTTATTTTCCATTCTGTAAGAGCTACAATGTTCCATCAGTAAAGCTGACATTTGTAATCAAATTATTCTTTTGAGTCAGCAATATTTTTATATGTTATGGTACTTCTTTAGGTTTTTCTGTCTTTACAAATTAATCATACTTCAAGTCAAAGGCATCAGTTGTTCAACTGATGCTTCCAAATCTAACAAATATAGGCTAATCAAAATTGATATACATTTTGACAAATAGTATACCATTGCAGAGAGGATGAAAAAGAGATATAATTGTCCATATATCCCAGCAATGGTAAAATATAAACATATTCCACATCTAATCATAAAATAAAATAAATGAAAATACAATACAATACCTACTAACCTATAAAAATCAAGGATATTTATTTTAGGTGTTATTATGAAATATATGCTGATAAAGCAGTAAATATTTTTCCACTGTGAAAAAATTGTTTGTATACAATTAGAGTTAGCACACGATCTAATCTGGATTTGACTGGTATTGTCATGTTCACTCTTTTGTTGTTCACTTTGGAAGATGAAAAGGTTAATATGTGCAAACTGTTAAGTATTAATATTATTTTGACACAATAAGCTGGATTTGAGCTAAGTAGTTGTGAAATATCACATAAATATGATCCTCCATCATGGAGGTGTGAAGAAGGTCCACTTGATGAAAATTAATAATCTGTCAATGGAATTTATAGAATCTCTTGATTTATGGCCAATTTTCTTGATCTAAATCCCAAAATCTCCTTATTTGGTCATTATTCTGTCAATGATTTGAAACTCTATCAGGTATATATTTTAATTAAGTTAATGCTATGATATACATAATATACATAAAACATATATATATATATATGTTTTATGAATGAATACCAACAGAAGTCAGAATCTTTCTAATGATTTTAGTCTCAGATTAAAATATGCTTCCTAGTTTAGATAATGATATCCTCAATTAACTTTATTACTTTATTTATATAACAAACAACTCTGATATATTGGGAAGGAAATAAAATTTAATGACAGTGAATGAGTGGTATTTATTAAGACATGTGCAATTAGGTATAGATATTATTAAGGAATTAAAATATTGGTGGCATATGGCTATATTACTGATCTAGAACAGTCATATATCAGTCAATTAAATTTTGGATTTAAGGTTTACCCTTATATTTTAAAATCTTTACTTTTGGTGATGGCTTACTAAAGAAAGCAAAAGGAAGGGAGATAATTAAGCAATGGGAATTAAAGATTTATTTATGTTGACCAAAGGAAGATAATCATTTTCTGAATATCATGTGGCCAATTATATGATATTTGATATACTTATATTTTTTGTTTTTATTATATTCTGTTTTGTGTTTACCTTTGTTATATTTTAGTGTTTTTCTATGTTCTGACAAAAATTGTTAATTGTTAAATTATTGTTAAAAAAATATGATTCATTCATTGTCAAATGTAGAAATAAAAAATATCAAAAATACTACTTATCTTTTTTTTATCTACAAAAAAAGTTATGTATCCTTACCTTGGTAGTCAAATAAATTTGCAGTACATATAATGCCTACATGACTATGGACAAACAGTAAATTGCTGATACAATTGGCTAATTATAACAAACATCAAGAGGTCCAAAATACCTTAGCTGTATTTGGCAAAACCTTTACAAATTTTGGGTCCTCAATGCTCTTCCAACTTCGTTCTTTATTTGGCCTTTTTAACTTATTTTTTTTTGAGCCTTGAGTCTTTTGTAGACGAAACGCTCATCTGGCATACACAATTTAAGCCTGGTATCTATGATGAGTTTATTGAACAGTTGTATACTACTGTTGCTTTTATTTATATATTGTCTTCAACTAGATGAAAACTAACATGAAGATTAAACCATCTGTCTCCCCTTCATCTATAGATGTCACTATTATAAAGGAAAGGCAAAACAAACACATTCTAGTACGAACTGGATGTAGATATTATCATGGCAAATTGGAATATATATATATATTGACCGACCCCTCTACCAAGGAATTTGTTTTGCATGCACACGTATAAAAATTGCGGTTTTTATCCAACGCAATCATAGGTTTGAACGTTGTTTTCAATTTAGACTTATTTATATTTTTTCGTTTGGGCTTGTATTATATTTGCCTTCGGGTTTATATGATCCATTCATCCTTTTTCGACTTTTCAAAATTCAAGAGTCTATCCTAAATTGAGGTAAATTATATGGCCTTCCAAATACCGTTTCGATTCCTAACATCACTGAAGAGACATTAATTGTCGAAATCCAGATATGGTGTACAAATTTTTGCACCTCATGTTTGCGGTATACCTTCTTTTCCGCAAGTTTATTGTTTTCTGTTTGGTATTTAAATTAATATTAAAGATCCATTTTGTTACATCTTGTGATCCGTTTATTTGGCAATCGCCAATGGCAGTCAGCAGGGTATAAGAAAATCCATTGTTCGACCTGTTAGTCAAATGCGTTTTGTTTAAATATACCTTTTCACTTTTTTGGTCTTTTGGAAAATGTTGTTTGTTCTGTATTTAGACCCCTCTACCAAGAAATTTGTTTTGCATGCACACGTATAAAAATTGCGGCTTTTATCCAACGCAATCATAGGTTTGAACGTTGTTTTCAATTTAGACTTGTATATATATATGTTTTCAATTCAGACTTGTATATATATAAATTTTGTTCCAAAAAGGGCGTAATGCCAACCCCTCTTAACCCGCTAAAATCCCGACCTATTAACCATATATATATATATATATGGTTAATAGGTCGGGATTTTAGCGGGTTAAGAGGGGTTGGCATTACGCCCTTTTTGGAACAAAATTTATGGTGCGCTGTAAAGGTCTTGTGGCCATCAGAATATGTATATAGTATAGGAGTGGGTATCAACAGGTTTTAGCCCACCTGTCCAAAATGATAATGTATTCAATTGCCATCACTTTGTGTCCTTACTCTGTCTGTTGTCCGTAACTTTTCTTTAAATTCTTCTTCTCGGAAACTATTCAATGGATTGAAATCAAATATTCTACTATTGAGTTTGTGATTTTCGTTGAGATCAATCTAACAACATGGCCAACTAGTCTAAAAATAAACATGACATAATATTGCAATTTTGGCTAATATCTCGAAAATATTAGCAACTAGAGCAAAATTTCCGTATGAAAATGGTAACCAAGACTTAGCTCTTTCTACCCTGAAAATTTTAGAAAAATCTCATCCTGTTTTGAGCTATTGTCCCTAAAACGTAGAATTTTATCTTTTTCGGCAGTTCTATGCTTTTGTCTAAAAAAAAAAGATAGAAGGTTAAAGTTTAGATTGCAAAAAATGATCTGATCGGGAAGTTCTATCTAACAGAACACGCTGAAAACTTCAGAAAGATCTGACAACCATATATCGAATAAGAGCCATCGAACAATTGCTCCTGAAAGGGAAGTTTTACAGATTTTCATAAATTATGACTTCTCTTAAAAGTAGTTGCCACTGAAATGTCCATTTATACCAATTTTCTCTTGAATACTAAATGAGGGTTGTTTATGACATGCACCATCCCCTTCATATCTTATTCAAACCTCTTAACATTCTTGATATATGTTGTGCTGTTACACCACTGTTCCAGGTTAGGGGGAGGATTGAGCGCCCGCAAACATGTTGAACCCCTCCACATTCTGTATGTGCCTTTCCCAAGTCAGGAGCCTGATATTCAGTGGTTGTCGTCTGTTGCTGTATATCATATTTGTTTTTAGTTCATTGTTTTGTAAATCAGACCGTCAGTTTTCTCGTTTAAAATTGTTTTAAATTTGTCATTTCGTTGTCAGTTTGTTTTCGATCTATGAGTTTGACTGTCCCTCTGGTATCTTTCGTCCCTCTTTTATAGCTGACTATGCGGTATGGGTTTTCTCATTGTTGAAGGCCGTAGGATAACCTATAGTTGTTAACTTCTCTTTCATTTGGTCTCTGGTGGAGTCTCATTGGCAATCATATCACATCTCCTTATTTTCATATTGTTATAACAAGACCTTTACAGTGCACCATAGGTTTTGTCCCTGGGGTCCCCTCATATCGAAAATATTGTTTAAATATATCAACAAACCTGTTGATAATGGAAGTACTTGTGAGAACCTACTAATAGCTCATACTAATTATTTTTGTCCTGCTGATCATTTTTAGCAATATACACTTTCAAATTAAGGCGACAGTAGTTTACCGTTATTCAAGTCTCGCGAATTGACTAGGAAGAGACAAATCAAGGTCACAAACTAAATCTGAGGGAATCGCATGTACTCCTAAACGAACTAGACCTGGTGTGTCAACAGGGTAAGAAATGAAAACAACACATTATAAATTTCATGCGTCCGAAGCGCTTTTCTGGATTTAACTTCGTCAGGAACACTCAATTTTTGAAAGGTTTATTATCAATCATGTCAGTACCGCATACTGACTACTGAGCTGATGATACCCCCGGGGACTGATAGTCCACCAGCAGAAGTATCGACACAGTGTTGTAAAACATTAAAACAACACGTTATAAAGTTCATGCGTCCGAAGTGCTTTTCTGGATTTACCTTAATCAGGAACGCTCAAAGCCGAATATTTGAAAGCCAAGGATGTATAAGAACCGAATCAGTTGAGCTATATGACGAAAAAAGAAGGACAAAAATGCCAAATCCATATAAAGTCAACTATGTGTGAGGGAGTTGAAACCTTGGTTTCTTTATAATCTTGGTATTTATAAACGGGCAATTTTACTAAAGTTTGCTATTAATCATGTCAGTACCGAAGAACTGACTACTGAGCTGATGATACCCTCGGGGACTGATAGCCCACCAGCAGAGGAATCGACCCAGTGCTAAAAAAATACGTCCGAAGCCTTTTTCTTGACTTACCTTCATCAGGAACGGCCAAAGCCGAATATTTGTAAGCCAAGAATGTATAAGAGACGAATCAGTTGAAGAGTTATTTGACGAAAAAGGACCTAAAAAATAGCCAAAACCATCTTAGGTTAACTTTGCCTGAGGGACTTGAAATTTACACTCAGTCAAAATGTAGCAATCTGTTAAATTCCTGATCAGCCCACTATACCCTAGCTTCTATATTTTTTAAATAATAGCAAAGCAGTAAAACAGATATTTCTGGAGCAATAATCCCAAAACAAGTCGGATTTTTCTAACAATTTCAGAGTAGATAAAATTTGTCATGTTGATCATTATTAATAAGGGTGGGAATCAGAACCATTTGAGATATTTAATAATTTATTATATGAAGGGACAGGGTTTAAGATAAAGTGAGAAGGTCTTGCAATGTCACGATTTTGGAGTAGACAATAAATCTTTTAAAATCAATTATTTGACCTTCGGGTCAAGGTCAGTGGACATTTGCAATTATATGCAACACATCATCTTGATGTGGTAGAATCATGGACAAAATATCAAAAACTTAAATCAAAGGATAAACAAGATACTAACCGTACAATTCAATGTCCCTTATAGTCTTTTTTTATCTTGAGCTCAAAAGTCAAGGTCATGACCCAGATTGGCTGGGTAGTTTGAAGTAGTTCTCGCATAAGTAGAAGTAGTCAACGTTGTTGCTTCCCTTCTACGTCGTCAAAGATCATCAGATTCTTACGAGTTTCATCGAAGTCCAGCGGATCTTGCACATCGCCCCCATGCTCAAAGAGGTAGACATTGATGACGCTTGCGAGGATAGTGCATTAATGATGTCTGGTAGCGTCTGGTGCACTCGTTCCTGATGTAGATGAATTTGCGTATGTATTCTTTAGAAAATCCCTTCTTCATAGTTTTGCCTAAAAGTTAATAGATGTGTTATTGAAGCGATTTTCTAAAGATGTACAGGCGAGCATAATCCAGTCACTCCGATCGAAGGACTGTTTTTTTAACAGCGTCGTCTTACCTCAGTCAGATTTCCTTATGATCAACTCTCTAATCAATCGCTGTGGCAGCAGGATTTGGTTGTTCTTGTTTGAGGTCGTTTTTGAAAGGTTTACTTGTTTTGGCTTTCTAACTTTTTTGATCTGAGCGTCACTGATGGTTCTTATGTAGACGAGAAGCGCGTCTGGCGTATTAAATTATAAGCCTGGTACCTTTTGATAGCTATTATTTGTGTGTGTCCCTGTCCTGTATGTTCTCCCATTTATTTGTATTGTAGTCCTGTCATGTTATCTTGTCATTTTAATGTTATATTTAACATTGCCATAAAAGCGGGAGGTTTGGCTAGCCACAAAACCAGGTTAACCCACCATTTTTTCTTAAAATGTCCTGTACCAAGTGAGGAAAATGGCCATTGTTATATTATAGTTCGTTTCTGTGTGTGTTGCATTTTAGTGTTGAGTTTCTGTTGTGTCGTTGTTCTCCTCTTATATTTCATGTGTATCCCTCAGTTTTAGTTTGTAACCCAGATTTGTTTTTTTCTCAATCGAATAGTGGTATACTACTGTTGCCTTTATTTACATTATT